TTGTGGTTTTGATTTGCATTTCCATGATGATGATTACTGGTGTGGATCATCTTTTCATGTGCCTGTTAGCCATCTGTACGTCTTCCTTAGAAAAATGTCTTGTCAGGTCCTCTGCCCATTTTTAAATTGAGTTATTTCTTTTCTTGGTGTTCAGTCATCTGAGTTCCTTATACCTTTTGGATATTAGCCCCTTATCAGATATATCATTTGCAAATGCATTCTCCCATACAGTAGGTTGCCTTTTTGTTTTGATGATAGTTTCCTTTGCTGTGAGAAGCTTTTTAGTTTGATGTAGTTCCACTTGTTTATTTTTGCTTTTGTTGACCTTGTTTGGGGAGACATATCCAGAAAATAGTTACTTATTCTGAGGTTCAAGAAATTCCTGCCTATGTTTTCTTCTAAAAGTTTTATAATTTCATGTCTTAGGTCTGACTTTGAGTTTACTTTTCTGTATGGTATTCATTCTCTTGCATGCAACTGTTCAGTTTTCCCAACACCATTTATTAAAGAGACTATCATTTCCTCATTGCACTTTCTTGCCTCCTTTGTCACATATTAATTGACCATGTATGTGCAGGTTTACTTGCGGGCTCTCTTTTATTCTCTTCTATTGATCCACATTCCTACTCTTGTCAGTACCATACTGTAGCTTTGTAGAATAGTTTTAAGTCAGGGAGTATGGTACCTACAGATTTGCTCTTTTTTCTCAATATTGCTTTGGCTATTTGGGGTCTTCTGTGGTTCCATATAAATTTTAGGGTTGTTTGCTCTAGTTCATTGAAAAATACCATTGGTATTTTGATGGGGATGTATTCTATTGCTTTGGATTGAATGTTTTGTATATGTTAAGTTCATTTATCATACTGTGTTATTTAAGGCTACTGTTTACTTAATGATTTTCTGCCTGGATGATTTATTCATTAATGAAAGTGGGATATTAAAGTTTCCTACTATTATTACATTGCTGCTCATTTTCCCACTTAGGTCTATTAATATTTGCTTTATATATTTAGGTGCTATGTTGGCTGCATAAATATTTACAAATGTATCCTCCTGTTGGACTGACTCCTTTGTTTGGGGAGTAGGGTCTTTATATAAAGATTTTAAGTTAAAATTAGATCATTAGGGTAGGCCTCCTTAATGAACACAACTGATTATCTCCTTATAAAAAGGGGAAATTTGGACATACATACATATTAAGGAAGACAATATGAACAGACATAGGGAGAAGACGGCCATTTACAAGCCAAGAAGATAGGCCTGAGACAGATTCTTCCCTCACAGGCCAATTCGCACCTCCATTTTGGACTTCCAGCCTCCACAACCGAGACAATAGATTTCTGTTGTGTGACCACCTAGTCTGTGGTAGTTTTAAGGGCACCCCTAGAAGGCTAATACAAGGGGACTCTCATTTTTATATTTCTGTAGTATATGACATGCTTACATGACTATGCATGTTACTGCATGTTACTTTTATAATCAGAGGCCTCCCCACCCCTGCCAAATTTTTGGAAAAGCAAATGAGAGAAAAGAGACACAAAGAGGCAAAGGGTACCAGGCATGACTATCACAGCTTATTTATTCCTCCTTTGTAAATACACAGAACCTACCTCCTCTCCCTCACCCCAGTCCGGCCCCACCCAATATTGCCCTTTGAGTCTTCAGCTTGCCTCAAGGGAACCACGAGCACTGGTGGCTGCTGTAGCTGAGACGGGTGGGCCCTGATATGCTAGGTTCACAACCGGTATCTGGTCCTGTAACAAGTCCCCAGGGTCATCTCCGTTCCACCCATCTAGTGCAGGCCTAAACAAGAAAGTATGGAGTGTCTAGTCATCTCACTCCACAGAACAGAAAGCCCGACAAGCCTGCAATAAAATGCCTGCTGCACTTTTACAGCTCTGGTCCCCTGTACACACAGACAGCCCTATGACTGCCTGCTCAAAGGCCATGTTAAAATAACAAACCACTCTGGGATTCCTGTGAATCAGAATTCTTCCAGCAACACTTGCACCTCTGGGAAGATGTACTGATTTTCTGGAGGGTGCCCACCTCTGTGGGGTTGGAGTGGGAACCAGCATTGGGTGAGCAGCAGGGAGGAGCAGAGGCCCAGGAGATGAGGGCACTCAAAGGCCACAGGAGAGGGGCTAGAAGATTCTGGAAAGCAGCCCTCTGCAAGACAATGTGCTCTAGCCCTGGGGAAGTATGCAGAGCTGGATCCAGCCCCCTGGGCAGAACTGCTCTGATGGAAGCCACTGATTCCTTCAGGTTGCATGCCCTGGGGCTCCCGAGGAGTGTGCTGCTGCAGTTATCACTTGGGTCATTAACATATCTGGAAGGGCCAGGAAGGAATCAAATCCTAATTTTGAATTGCAAGAAGAGGTTAAGAAAAAGAAATCTCAACAAATAGGTTGTAGGTTTGAATACTCACAAAATATCCAACATGGCTTCAGCTTCCTGTGCTTGAAAAGAGGGTGTCCTTTCCAGGGCTGTTTCCTTAGGGTCCCAGAATACAGAAGAACTGAGGGGAGAACTAGCATTTTGAAGTGCCTTGTATGTACTGCACTGCAACCATGGCGAAGCACTTAACTTCCCTGATGAGCTGAAGCTAGGCATTATTCCACTCTTAGACCTGAGGACACCGAGGCTCAGAAAGGTGAGGTCACTTGCCCAAGGGTTAATGACTAATAATGGCAGAAAAGACTGTGTCATGGCCAGTGACTGTGACCAAGCTAATGTAGTTTCTCTGCACCTGCTTCCTCCCCTGTAAGGTAGAAATGAAGCCTCTACCTCACAGAGAGCTAATGGAGGTGATGTATGTGTTGTGCGCAGCTCCTGGCAGGGCGCACAGGGCACCAAAGATGACAAGTTAATACTTGTCAAGCCTGCTGGGCCTGAGAGAGCAGGGAGGACTGGGCAAGGCTCTTGACTGGTGCCTGCTTTTCAAGCCCACCAATAGGGGAGGTGATCTGAGGTATCAGAGTGAGGCTGGGAGGGGACCGAGCTTTGCACTCAGCCGCCTGGGCTCAGGCCTGGACAGTCCAGGCTCCGTAGGACTGCAGGTTACCTTCATTACTTTACCTTGCTAAGCTTCAGTTCCAGGCTAAAGCAGGAACAACAGAAGGGACAGGCCTTGAAGGAGGCATGGGGGTCAGCAGGATCTTAGGGCTCCTTCACTGCAGCTCTGGAGTGCCTTCCCAGTTTTCCTTCTTAATTGGAACAATTATTTAGGATCAGTTGTCGTAACAAGTAAATGCATCATATTTTCTTGGCAAATACTTAGTTATTAACTCACCAGTTCTACTTCAGAGCAATCGCATTATTCCTTTACTGTCAAACTACTTGAGAACATATTTTACATTTGATGTTTTCACCTCACGTTGTCTTCAAGCCACTGTAATCTGGTTTGTGCCCTTCGTCTCTAACAAAACATCTTTCATTAAGTTCTCTAATAATCTCTTGTCGATCTTTATGGCTTGTGTCTCTCTTGCTTTCTAATTTCCAGCATCTCCCGTTCTTTTTCATCTTTGCCAGTGGCTTGAAAAGTCATTCCTTTCAGGAAGAGTTAAAACTAAGATGAAGAGGCCCCCTGATACATCTTTTGAGGGCCTCTCCCCAGTTGTCTAAAGTAGGAGCCGAAACCTTCCTCTGTGACCCTTAGAGGACCCCACACTTTATTTCCTCCAAAGGATTGTCATTTTGGCTTTGGAGCATCCAAAGAGCCTACCTGGAAGGGAAAGTGGGCCAAATGTCACTGAAACAGAATCGCTGGAAGGAGTCCAAGGGTCTTGCCATTTTAACAGTTGTTTTCTGTGAGAAACTGTCTTCCGAACTCCACACCCACGCACACACCCACATGAGGTTCAGCAAGAATTGGAGGAAAACAACTCGGAGGAAGTACAGCTGTTCCCTCTGAGGAGCGTGAGGAGCACCTAGGGCGAGGGGGTGTTCCCCGGGCGGTGACATACAGCATTCCTTTCACTTGAGGCATCCGAGCCTGAAGAGCTGTGGTGTCCCCTTGGGAAACTGACATAACCATAGGCGGGAAGGGCCTCACAGAACAGACCACATGGCCCTGTCCAAAGGAAACCCTTTCTCATCCTGTGGACAGGCACTCCCCCCCTGCTGTGGCTCCGCCACCACCCTCCATCAGCCAGACAAATGCCCTGAAGTCAGTGATCTGATAGGATGTTTATATTTACATGGTACATTTTAAAGCAATGGCTACATTGGTCATACATATTAGAAACCATAAAAAAAAAGTTAACTAAAATGTACATCATACACTTGTATATATATTTTTTACACAGAGGTAAAAAGGCTTATTATAAAAAATCAATACAACAGGGTTTTTAGTTTACAGATAAAGAATGAATTATGCTTCAGGCACTTTAATTTGTTAATGTGAGCAAATAGCTTGGGATGGGGTTGGGGGGAGCACAGGTTGGAGGGAAGCATCCAAACAGAAAATTTTTTGGTTAATGTTTTGTTACCACAGATACAAAAATAAAATTTGAATAATTTCTCTCAAATGATTGACGTCAGTATGGCAAAGCTGACTGGGAAAATACTGCACACTGTTCAGCTGCAGTGTGGTAATTAGAGATGTATTTACATAAATGTCCCCATGGCTGTCCTTGTGCCTTTAACCGCTGCCTTCACAAACCAAAAAGTATATGCGGAGTAAGAGTCACTAGCGTAACTGAAGGGATGGAGAAGAGCCTTACAAGGGGTAAGGGAAGATAGGAACAAATAATGACTAGAGACACAAAGCAGTGGGATGTGTGTATTCTTCCTCAAATAAATAGGGGCAATTGAACTGAGGTCTAACAAAAAGTACATTAGTGTTGTGCTTCGTAGAGAGGAGACCTTGAGAAAGACCCTGAAGAGGTGCCTCAGGCAGGGCGGGGGAGGGGGAGATGATCTCAACAACCTGTGGAGGCTGGCTGAAGGCTTCTAGATGTTCTCCAGGCAAGGAAACTGTTCTTTTCTTCCATCACCAGACTGACAGCTCTCCGCTCCTTTTCCAAACTGGAAGGCCCAAACCAGTCACTCCAACAAAGGAAAACATCTACCAACTAACTCAGGTATACTGGGTATTTACACCAATGACCTAACTAAAGAAATGCGATGGACCCTCAGACGAGATGGAAACATTCCATGAAGGTAAGCATGGCTAGCACTTTCCTAATACGACTGGCAGACAGGAAAAAAGTCCTTTTCCTTGAAGACTGATGTCCTGTGTGTACCAGAGAAGGGATGGGGGAAGGTGGGGAGACAGGGGCAGATCATGCCAGGGGGCAATTACTGCAGGAAGGTCATGGAGGGAAGCCAGCACTGACAAGCCTGTCCCCCGTAGTCTCCATGATGTTCTGACTGTACGATGCTAGGTACAGGTAACATTTCCTCTTTCTGCAATAAGACTATTTGGCTATTCTTTGCAATATATTAGAAAAATACTCTTTTCCTGCTAATTAGAAGCCTCCCATGTGGCAAGGCGACAGGCAGACCCAGTCTGCTGACCTGACCATCTGTGCACCCACATTGGCAAGTCTGGGTTTGGCGTTGCAGGAGAAAGACACTTAGGCATTGGAAGGGTTTTTACATATGGCCTTGTTTTTTTCCCCAAGTATAAATGAAGAATTTGGTGATGTGACATTGAGTCCAAGATAGAAACAAAAGCACAAACCCATGAGCAAAGTGCAACCCACCACTCTTCAAATTTATGACATTTAAAATTTCCCCCAGTTAACAGAAAATAGCCAGTGGAGGTGGGGTAGCTCCTATAGTTGTATTTAGCACAATAGCGTTTCTCAACTGGAACTTGTTCAGAGAACACTGGTTTGTGTCTGAATAGACTATTTCGTTTGCAAAACAAAGAGGAAAATTTCTTCATTAGCATTTTCTTCTAATATTGCTAAATTTTTAGAGTGGTGATGACACAATTTTAAAAAGTTCTACTTTAGGGGTATTTGGGGAGACTCAGAGAAACCTGAAGTCCCCTTTCTAGCCCTGGTCCAAGATGATGTGATGCAGTTTAAGGAATTTTCCTGATTCTCACAAGTTAATCTGAAGTTAAGGCTCAATTCTCAAATCATTTTACAGGTGAATGTTTTGCATCAGGGAGTAAGTGACAGAATCTGGGGGGGACCAAAATGACGATGGGTTTAAGATAGAAACCAGTTTACATGGTAAATTTGGCTTTAGAAAAGTGAAAGTGATCTTGTTTTGTGGTAGAAGTTTAACTAGCTCACCTCCTATATATAATAACTGCGGGTTAAAATACTTCTTGGTAGGGTTTCATCATTCTGACATCACACTTCCGCAGGAACCCGACGCTCCTCAGGCAAGCTGAACCAACAGAAACATAGTCCTGGATGCTCTTGGAAAAACCAACTACAAAACCCACCCCAAATCAGCAGTTCCGACTGCAGGCGCCTCTGAACTGGAAGAGGTGGGTAGGAAGGAGATGAAATTACCACATGTATAAGACAGTTAGCTTGATTACAGACTGCTAGTAATACATGAGAGTCTCTGCAGAGGTTCCTTCCCTTAGAACACTGTGTCCAGGAGCGTGCATGTGTGTGGGTGTGGGTGTGGCTAATGCAGAGTGGGGGGTTGGTGGGTGCGGGGTTCACAGGCAGGTCCCCAGGCTGGAAGGGCGCCTTCAGGGACTCGGGGGGGGGGGCAGGGGAGAAGATGAGCACGTGTAGGAGACAAGTTCCCCTGCGGCTGTGGAAGGAGGAAGGGGAGGGAAATGGAGTCACACGGCCGCTTTGTGCTTCCCGCCACAGCACCCGCACATCACGCCACAGTGGTAGCAGGCCCGAAGGGGGAGGTAACAGCACATACAGGGGGCCAAGAAAGACAAGGCAATAAGAGCCATCCACCGGAGGCAAAACTTCTCGTCGCTAGTGTCGCACGAGCATGGGTCTGTATAGTCTCCCTCGGGGTCCGACATACAGTGATAGAGCATGCTGTCCGCACACCACATACAGCTCACCCGGCGGATGCAAGTTCTCATGGAGTCGGGCGCGTCCTGGCAGTGGCCCCTCCGGTTCTCCTCGTGGTTGAACATGTCCCTGCAGTACTCGCACCGGGAGCGCTCCCCATCCTCCTTCCGCCGCCGGGACTTGCCCCGCGAGGGCTGCGTCTTGATCACGCTGCCCCCGCGCCCTTTGGGGTCCTCACCGAGGCCAAAGTCCGAGGAGTCCACATAGGGATAATTGTAGTCGTGCTTGGGAACCTCACCCTTGGCGAAGCGCACGTAGGAGTCTGCATCCTCCGAGGTGTCCGCGAATTTGCCCCTCACCGGCGCGTGCCGGTAGTCCTCGTAGCCGGTCATCCAGATCTTCTCCCTGGGGTTGATGCGTACAATCTCCTCGTCGTCGTCCGGGAAACTCACCTGGTGGTAGGCCCTTGGCATCGCCTGCCCCAGGAAAAGGGAGGCATTATTTTATAGCAGTGGCCCAAAAAACAAAAAACCGAACCAACCACCCCCCTCCAATATGCACTTTTCACCTTGACAAAGGCATTTCTCTAATTACTGAACATCTTGTATTTGGAATTGGTGTCAGTCCATTCCAGGGTCAGGAAATCAGTTTCATGGGTCAAGACCAACATTTTCTCCCTTTTTTGTTGAAGTGTTACCATATATTTGGGCAAGTGTGTACTCTCTAAGAATAGTTTGAATTTTCAGAAGCTGAGCACAACCAGATAGAGACACAGAAGGTGAGGCCTCCTTAAAGACCCCACCCCCTCCCTTCAGTTACCTCCCACCCTCAAGTTGTCATGTCCCATCCTGATTTCTAACGTCTTTGATTAATTAATTTCACTTGTTTTTGTACCGTATGTTCTTTTGTAAGATCAGCTGTTTTTCTCAGTTAAACGGAAGGATACTGGAGTACAGTGCATGTTACAAAGGTAAGTACTTCTCATTTCTCTGTGCACACTGGGTAACAATATAAAATGTGTTTCTCAGTGTGGGTCAAATTCAAAGAACAGAAGGGCATACTAGGAACTATAAGGCTTGCAAGTACCTTGTAATCTGTTAGGAAGATAAGATGCCCAGATATGAAAAGGATAGCAGTGTGGATCTGGGGGCCACCAGCCTGGGTTCAAATCCTGCCAGGACTTCACAGAGAGTGAATGGCAGAGCTCGACTGTAAGCCACACCCTCGGGCCTCAAAGCCCAACAGTTCTCCCTGAGGGTGGGACAGACATCTCAGCAGGCAGTTCCACTGCGCTGGCAACAGTGCCTCCTCCAGAGCAGCAGGTGCTGAATGGTTACCTATGTTTGACATGACTACAAAACTGTGCAGGACCACGGTGCAAGGGCTGAAAGAGAATCTGCACAGCGCCAGCACAGGTGTTGAAGGTGTTGGGGTTACACCAGTGCCAGAGGACTTGGCTCAGGGCCCAAAGGTTACTACCCATCACTTCCCACCAGACTGTGAGCTCCTTGGGAGCAGGTCATGTGCCATGTGCTTTGTTATAATTCCTGTCAGATTTCTGACCCCAGTTACCCTGACTTAGGAAAATTACCATCTTATAGTACTTCAAAACCAACCTTGGGTGCTGACACAGACTTCGCTAATTATTTTGTCATGTAAGGGGAGTCAAAAGGTCAGTTCCCATCTACTGCTACCATCATGTGGTTTTAAAAAAGAACATTTTAATGCCAAAATATTAGGAAGCACACAACTGATTGATTAAAAAAAGTCATATAAATCTAGCTTTATGTTAAAACCCTCTCCCCCTAAGCCAAATTGCCCTCTGCTCTCTTTTTCTCTTTCCAAGCAGACTGGCGGCCACATCACCCCACATGGGCACCAGTCCATGTCCCACAGTTTGGGAACCTGCTCTGCAAAACAGCCGCTCAGTAAATATTTGTTGAAATCACTGAATTCCAAACTCTAGCTACATCTCCCTGAGCAAGCCCTGGGCCCAAGGCTCGTAATGCCAGGGCGCTCAAGCCAAGCATGTAAAGCACTCTTCAGTCCTGATCGTGGTTCTATGCTTTCAAACAGGCAGGAGGCAGCACGGCACCTAGGGTGAGCACAGGCTTGCATCTGAAACTTGCTCCATCAGGGACTGTGTCTCTCTAAGCCTCAGCACCCTCACCTATAAACTGGGGATGCTAAGGCCCAGCTGTGTGGGCAAATTTGTGAGGGTCAAGTGAGACAAAGCACAGAAGGTGTCTGATGCCCAGAAGACCCTGAGTACGGGGAAGCAGCCCCCAACACCTTCAGTATGGGGTGGGGTACAAAGTGGAACACAGGAGGCCTGGGCTTGGGGCACCTGGTTGAACAGGAGGGGAAGGGGGCTGTTCCAGAATTGGAAGGCCTCCACCCCATGACCTCAGGGGAACAAGACTGCCACTCACCTGTTCAAGGTGATAGTGGTCCGTGGGATATGGGTCATGGAGGTGGCCCAGGGTATAAACCCTCCGGTGCTCACAGGATGTGGGAGAGGAGATTGTCCGCGTAGGCTGTTCCCTCTTCTGAGAGGAATTAGAAGAACTGTCTGTAGCTGTCTGTTTAGAGGGAGGTAACCAAGAGTTAATTAAAAAACAAACCAAAACCACACACCTAACCGTAGCACACCTTTAAGCCCCACTTGTGGGGTCTTTTGCTGTATTTCCCGAAATCTTGTGTTTATCTTGGCTGTGGGAGGCAGGAGGACCCCTGAAGGCCCAGTCTGTCTAAACATGTTGTGGCTGGCTCACTGTGCAGAGAAACCCAGCTAGCAGACCCTGGAAAGCTGGGTTTGTTTTCTCCAACGTGGAAGCAGTGACAGGCTTTGGGGAAAGGCTCACTACGCCAGGCCTCCTGCTGGTTCATCGCCATTTGACCAAGAACCCTGGTTAGGAGGTGCTCTGGCAAGCTGAGGAAATGCAAACAAGCAAAAATCAATCCTAAATGTTTATATGTGGGCTAGTCCCAGCCTGAAAGTCTGAGAGATAAGGATACTTCAGTGGGATCATGGGCACTGACTTTCCAGGAAGAAGTTTTGTAATACTGTGTTGGAGGCAAGTCGCGGGGTTAACTTAAACTGGAAACAAAACGGATGACCCCACAGAGGGACAAAGGCCCCCATCTGTGGAGGGTGAATGCACAGCTGCTTTCCCATCAGAGGCAGTGGGTATAGACTGGCACCTGTGGAAGGTGGTCGGCTATCAGGATGGACTGTGCCGGGGGCGGAGCACAGGGGCTGCCGCCTCCCAATACACCTGTCACCGAGATGCTTCCACTCCCAGCTGAGGCTTGATGAAGCAGGCCAGGTGATGCTCACCCTCCACAACCCCCCACCTAAGAGCCACCTGCTCAAAAAGGGCTTTTGTTAAATGAAGCCAGGGCCCCTGAAAACCCCCACCCCACCTTCTTAGAGTCACAGATTCTTTATTTCCCCAAACGCAAAGAAAAAGTTTTTCTTGTACCTATTTCTCACAAATATTTAGGAACTCATCCTTGGCTATTGCTTCTCTTATAGTCCCCTTAATTTGCTTATCTCTTTTTATTTTACATGTTTTGTGTTAGTATTATAAATCCTTTTGTGGGCAAAAGCAAAGTTATAACAAACAGACTTGTAAATTATTCTTACCCTCCTCCCCATTTATAAAGCCATAAATACTCAGAAAAATGGACAAGTATTTAGGAAAAAGATGAGAATGAGACACCCATATTTCCATTACACAACACAACTACTATTAATTTTTAAAACTTGGTAGACATGTGCTGCATATCTTTGGGGACCTAAACCTTCTGGATTTTTCTCTAATTCTGTTTGGTCCACGTGCTATGGGGTCAATGGCTACTTCAAATCCCTCAATCCATAATGACTGATTAAGATCTGGGCACACGGTCTTCTCTGAGGCAGTAAGGAGAGATTTCTGATGGAGAGGTCAGAAAGAATGCTCTCTTTATCTTGGAACTTAAGATCTAAGGGTCCTATTAACCTGGAATCCTGGTGAGGGCACGGGGAGAGAAGCTTCTGAGGATGAAGTGAAGCAAAACCAAGAGAAGGCAGCCCCACAGAAACCATTTGAGCTGCTGGATCCACTCAAGCCTGAATCCCATTCACTCTAGGATGTTCCAATGATATGAGCCAATTTGCCTTAGTAATGTAAGCCAGAAGGCACTGGATGTGTCATTTGGGTGCACTTTCTCCTCACTCCTGGCTCCTTTCCTGCCGCAGCATTTCCAACTGCACCACAGTCCTGCTTCCCTCTGGCCACCCTGCCCCACTCTCCGCAGAGGCGTGCAGTGCCTGCTATTTCCCTACTCTGCCTCCTGGGAGCCACCCAGGTGGCAAACAGCACATGCTGGCAACCACTCTTGGGACTGTGCATCCCCTTGGAGGTTGAGGGCCTGCCCTCCTGCAGGGCGGCAGTGGAGATGATCCTAGGGTCTGCTCCTGAGACGCCCAGTTCCCATAGGTGTCAACCAGGACCGACATCATCAGCAATAAGGGTCTCCTATCGTTTTTTCTCAATGGATTCAGAACTCAGAGAACTGCTATTTATCCCTCAAATCCCAGTAACCAAAAAAGACCAAACTCATACACAAGTTTTACTTCCAAACTCTGGCCTGTCCTCTGACTCTCACCCACCCTTTCCTTACATCTCTGGAGCTCCTGTCACCTCTTAACACATGGGTGGTTGTAGATTAGATGGCACAACAAAGCAAAAGACTTACTAGTCTCAGATTGTATGAGTAGACAGGCCCTGGCTACATGTGAACATGGTTGCAGGTAAAATATTATCTCCACATCACACTTGGGGTCCTGCTAACTACAGCAGGCAGCCACTGCAGAGGTGGACTGAAGTGCAGCCCCTGACCACCCAGTGGGATTTCAATATCCCACACAGCTGCTTCTCAAGCTCAGGCGAGCCCTTTCCAGTGCCTACCTGGAGAGGTGTTATGCTGGGACTAACACAAGTACAATTTCTCTAAGTAAGAAGGTACGCTTTGCTTTACTCAAACCCAGGAGATGAGGGAATGGGCGTCTCACAATACAAAGGTTTCTAAAGACCTCAATAAATACTTCCTGAATGAGTATACAAGGGCCTTTCATTGTGATTCAAATCTCAAGGGTTAAATTTTTTGATCCAACACCCACATGAGTTACCTCCTGGGTTAGAAGCTACGGTTGTAGTGAACATTGTAATGGGCACTCAGCATTTAGTTCTTAGAAACCTAGTCAACCTATCATGATCATGTCTGTGTTAGTCATCTGCTCACCTTAACCCACCCTATTTTCTGTGACCCATGTCCAGTTGTTCCAGAATTGGAAGGCCTCCACCCCATGACCTCAGGGGAACAAGACTGCCACTCACCTGTTCAAGGTGATAGTGGTCCGTGGGATATGGGTCATGGAGGTGGCCCAGGGTATAAACCCTCCGGTGCTCACAGGATGTGGGAGAGATTGTCCGCGTAGGCTGTTCCCTCTTCTGAGAGGAATTAGAAGAACTGTCTGTAGCTGTCTGTTTAGAGGGAGGTAACCAAGAGTTAATTAAAAAACAAACCAAAACCACACACCTAACCGTAGCACACCTTTAAGCCCCACTTGTGGGGTCTTTTGCTGTATTTCCCGAAATCTTGTGTTTATCTTGGCTGTGGGAGGCAGGAGGACCCCTGAAGGCCCAGTCTGTCTAAACATGTTGTGGCTGGCTCACTGTGCAGAGAAACCCAGCTAGCAGACCCTGGAAAGCTGGGTTTGTTTTCTCCAACGTGGAAGCAGTGACAGGCTTTGGGGAAAGGCTCACTACGCCAGGCCTCCTGCTGGTTCATCGCCATTTGACCAAGAACCCTGGTTAGGAGGTGCTCTGGCAAGCTGAGGAAATGCAAACAAGCAAAAATCAATCCTAAATGTTTATATGTGGGCTAGTCCCAGCCTGAAAGTCTGAGAGATAAGGATACTTCAGTGGGATCATGGGCACTGACTTTCCAGGAAGAAGTTTTGTAATACTGTGTTGGAGGCAAGTCGCGGGGTTAACTTAAACTGGAAACAAAACGGATGACCCCACAGAGGGACAAAGGCCCCCATCTGTGGAGGGTGAATGCACAGCTGCTTTCCCATCAGAGGCAGTGGGTATAGACTGGCACCTGTGGAAGGTGGTCGGCTATCAGGATGGACTGTGCCGGGGGCGGAGCACAGGGGCTGCCGCCTCCCAATACACCTGTCACCGAGATGCTTCCACTCCCAGCTGAGGCTTGATGAAGCAGGCCAGGTGATGCTCACCCTCCACAACCCCCCACCTAAGAGCCACCTGCTCAAAAAGGGCTTTTGTTAAATGAAGCCAGGGCCCCTGAAAACCCCCACCCCACCTTCTTAGAGTCACAGATTCTTTATTTCCCCAAACGCAAAGAAAAAGTTTTTCTTGTACCTATTTCTCACAAATATTTAGGAACTCATCCTTGGCTATTGCTTCTCTTATAGTCCCCTTAATTTGCTTATCTCTTTTTATTTTACATGTTTTGTGTTAGTATTATAAATCCTTTTGTGGGCAAAAGCAAAGTTATAACAAACAGACTTGTAAATTATTCTTACCCTCCTCCCCATTTATAAAGCCATAAATACTCAGAAAAATGGACAAGTATTTAGGAAAAAGATGAGAATGAGACACCCATATTTCCATTACACAACACAACTACTATTAATTTTTAAAACTTGGTAGACATGTGCTGCATATCTTTGGGGACCTAAACCTTCTGGATTTTTCTCTAATTCTGTTTGGTCCACGTGCTATGGGGTCAATGGCTACTTCAAATCCCTCAATCCATAATGACTGATTAAGATCTGGGCACACGGTCTTCTCTGAGGCAGTAAGGAGAGATTTCTGATGGAGAGGTCAGAAAGAATGCTCTCTTTATCTTGGAACTTAAGATCTAAGGGTCCTATTAACCTGGAATCCTGGTGAGGGCACGGGGAGAGAAGCTTCTGAGGATGAAGTGAAGCAAAACCAAGAGAAGGCAGCCCCACAGAAACCATTTGAGCTGCTGGATCCACTCAAGCCTGAATCCCATTCACTCTAGGATGTTCCAATGATATGAGCCAATTTGCCTTAGTAATGTAAGCCAGAAGGCACTGGATGTGTCATTTGGGTGCACTTTCTCCTCACTCCTGGCTCCTTTCCTGCCGCAGCATTTCCAACTGCACCACAGTCCTGCTTCCCTCTGGCCACCCTGCCCCACTCTCCGCAGAGGCGTGCAGTGCCTGCTATTTCCCTACTCTGCCTCCTGGGAGCCACCCAGGTGGCAAACAGCACATGCTGGCAACCACTCTTGGGACTGTGCATCCCCTTGGAGGTTGAGGGCCTGCCCTCCTGCAGGGCGGCAGTGGAGATGATCCTAGGGTCTGCTCCTGAGACGCCCAGTT